AGGGGTATCAATGGCGGGGGTGGGGAGGGGTATCAATGGCGGGGGTGGGGAGGGGCATCAATGGCGGGGGTGGGGAGGGGTATCAATGGCGGGGGTGGGGAGGGGTATCAATGGCGGGGGTGGGGAGGGGTATCAATGGCGGGGGTGGGGAGGGGTATCAATGGCGGGGGTGTGTCCCGGATTGTAGGAAAAAAAGTCACAGGAAAAAAAAACACAGGAAAAAAAGCACAGAAAAAAGTCACAGGAAAAAAAGTCACAGGAAAAAAAGTCACAAATATATATTTGCATGATATTTGTTAATACTTTTATGTATTAAATATTTAGAGAGTGCAAATTAACTTAGGATTAATTAAATGTAATGTAATGTGTGTAGGCTGTATACGCATAGGAATTTTGATAATTCATCTAAAAATATTTATTATGAAGTATGTAGATTGTAATTATTTTAAACTTAAGATTAGTAGCATTTAATAGAATGCTCCAAAGTCCACGGTTTTCATCGTGTTTTTTTTAAATACCAACATTAAATTACCGTGAAATGGTAAGTTCATCTGACTTGCTGCCCTCAACTCATGGCAACAATAGTTATGTTTAGTTCAACCACCTTTACTGCCCACATTTATCACGCTCATTACATAACAAAACTTAGGATCAAAACAGAAAGCCGACAAGGTTCAAAGGCTGTCATTGACGCGTAACGTCAACAACACAAAATATGTTCGGACAATGCCTACTGAGGAGAGGCCGACCAGAGAATAGCCTACGGCAAAATTTGCCTAAATTTCTTTTATAATTAACTTTTCTACCGCGTATTTAACTAAATACGTAACAAGTTGAGATTGTTGTGTAAATTATCTTAGAGTATTTTTACTTACAATTGTTATAAATCATAATGCTTTTAACGTCTATAAATAATTTATGCTATCAAAAAATACAACCCACAACAATAAACATACAAAATTTTACAATTCTTAACAAATTAATAAAAATATTTCTAAAAAGATTTTTGTGACTTTTTTTCTGTGACTTTATTTCTGTGACTTTTTTTCCGATAAAATTTTTCCACTGTGACTTTTTTTCTGTGACTTTTTTTCCTAGCAAAAACTGTGACTTTTTTTCTGTGTTTTTTTTTCCTGTGACTTTTTTTCCGTTTACCGTGTCCCGCTGGTGTGTGTGTGTCCCGCTGGTGTGTGTGTGTACACTGCTGGTGTGTGTACCCTGCTGGTGTGTGTGTGTGTACACTGTTGGTGTGTGTGTGTCCCGCTGGTGTGTGTGTGTACACTGCTGGTGTGTGTGTACACTGCTGGTGTGTGTGTGTGTACACTGCTGGTGTGTGTGTGTGTACCCTGCTGGTGTGTGTGTGTGTCCCGCTGGTGTGTGTGTGTACCCCGCTGGTGTGTGTGTGTGTACCCTGCTGGTGTGTGTGTGTGTCCCGCTGGTGTTGTGGCCATTCATCTCTGTCTGATACCCGCTTGATCGACTGGAACAGTCTAGAAGGTTCCAGAAATAACTCTCACGGGCCCCCGAAGGTTCTCGCCCACTACCTGACTTGTACAAGCAAACACGTCACGCTTCAATGGCGAGCCGTCTGCTTTGTTACAACGCCAGTTAGCTAGTGGTGTCTGGGGTGGGGGTGGGGTGTGTGGGGTGTGGTGTGGGGTGATCTCATCACCAGAGTTATCTAGTGGTGTGTGGCGTGGGGTGTGTGGGGTGTTTGACGTGGGGTGAGTGGGGTGATCTCAACACCTGAGTTATTTAGTGGTGTGTGGCGTAGGGTGTGGGGTGTGTGGGGTGTACTGATCTAAGTACTTGAGGTTGTGAGTTATCTAGTTGTGTGGGTGTGTGGGGTGTGGGGGTGGGGGGTGTGCTGATCTAAGTACCTGAGGTTGTGAGTTATCTAGTGCTCGCCATGGCTGTAGAGAGGTTTACCAGCGATACCCTACCCACCCCGTGACGGGTGAGATAGGTACGTTACTGCATGGTGAGATAGATAAACATTCATGCCTACATCAAATCAAGAAAAAAAGTAATCCACCATACATCACTCCACATACATCACACCACACCACATACACCACACCACATACACCACACCACATACACCACACCACATACACCACACCACATACACTACACCACATACACCACACCACATACACCACACCACATACACCACACCACATACACCACACCACATACACCACACCACATACACTACACCACATACACTACATCACATACACCACACCACATACACCACACCACATACACCACACCACATACACCACACCACATACACCACACCACACCACACCACATACACCACACCACATACACCACACCACATACACCACACCACATACACTACACCACATACACTACATCACATACACCACACCACATACACCACACCACATACACCACACCACATACACCACACCACATACACCACACCACATACACCACACCACACCACATACACCACATACACCACATACACCACACGACATACACTACATACACCATACCACATACACCACACCACATATACCACACCACATACACCACATACACCACACCACACCACATACACCACACGATATACACCACACGACATACACCACACCACATACACCACACCACATACACTACACCACATACACCACACCACATACACCACACCACATACACCAAACCAATTACACCACACTACATACACCACATACATTACACCACATACACCACATACACTACATCCACCACACCATATCCACCACACCACATACAACACATCAACCACTCAACATACACCACACATACACCTACCCCATCGATCTAACAAAAACAGAAAGTACAATTTGTCAATCTATATTTTAATTACGGTAATTAGTTGATTAGGGTGGATTACACAAACAGATTTCTGTAAACTAGAAACATTTGTTACTCAGAACTCTTGGACCTTCTGTTTGTGTCGGTCAAGTCTGTAACACATCCCAGTGCGATTGTCAAAATTGATTTGTACAACTCGATGCGGCGAAATTACTTATGGTCCCCCCCCCCCCCCCCCCCGATCAAAAGATCCTACTTAGATGGCTGGAACGTACGAGTATCGAAGCTAGAATCTGCTAGAATAAAATTTTACGAGCAGAACAGGAAAAAAAAACAATGCTTAATGCAATTTGAGCGTGTTGGTTTACATGTTAGCCCGCGGCATTCTGGGACACAACTCCAGTCCCCGCATCAAATCTGCTTTAAAAAAAGTTTATAATTCTTGACTTGACGTTTTTAATGTGTAAACAATCGTTTGGAGAGATTTGAAAGGGCGGGTTGATCTTCAGAGAAGTTGATCAATCAGAATGTAACAACTATAATCATCTTCTTCAGTTGGACAACTGGTTAGATTGACCTGGAAATGCGGATCCACTCTCAACCGCTCTCCCCTCCCCCCCCCCCCTCCACACACACACACTCTAATGACAACACACAGAATATTTTATCGAGAAGGAAAGTTACCCCCCCCCCCCCCTCAAACAAACTCCTCTCTGTCCCCCCTCCACACCCACACACCCACACACTCTAAAACACACAGAATATTGTACAGAGAAGGAAAGTCAGGTGAGAACCTGACGAAAGACAAAATGCACTCGGTGACTTAGAGTCCTTGACATTACCGTCAGTTTGTTGACAAACAACCCATCTATTTATAGTAACTGTGAAGTGAATTGAATTGCGATTCATTGTTACTGCAAGACAACACGCTAAGGCAGACTCGTTATTGGAGTGGGATCTATGCAATGTAACTGACCCGTGCTGTGTGAGACCCGTGTTGTCTAAGACCCATGTTGTAAAACGACCCGTGTTGTGTAAACGATCTTGACTACCGATTTAAAAAATCAATCAATGTGAGGTCTAGAGGAGAAACGTTGTGCTTCGTTTGATCCGTTGACACGGTCAACTTTTTAAAGTACAAACTAATTGATCATAACTGTTTAAAGTACAAACTAATTGATAATAACTTTTAAAAGTACAGCCCCAATAATAGAATTCGTTAAGAACGCGTGTAATCCCGTGAAACTAACCATTTCATCAGTGGACTTTCAACGGCTGCCGGTCGGGGAAAACATTGCCGGCTATAGCGGACTTTCAACGGCTGCCGGTCGGGGAAAACATTGCCGGCTATAGTTTATCACGGCCAACAATGCCGGTCATACACACACGCTAGTTACAACCGGTTCCGGTCACGTCAACAACTAACGTGACCGGTTCCCATCACTGGATGATGTTGCCTGACCTTGACCCCTACCGCAAAAATTAAAATCCTCATCCAATCATGGATAAGTTAAGCTGGAAGTGTCCATGTTTTTTCTCCAGTCGATGGATGGATGGCATGAATGATGGATGGATGGCATGACTGATGGATGGCATGACTGACTGATGGATGACATGACTGATGGATGACATGACTGATGGATGGCATGACTGATGGATGTATGAAATGACTGATGGATGGATGGCATGACTGATGGATGGATGGCATGACTGATGGATGACATGACTGATGGATGACATGACTGATGGACGGATATAAAACTATTGTGTGGGCTAGACAGACAAATCTATTTATAGCAAGCTGGGTCACGAAACTAATGGCAGATACGGACGAGCTATAGTCCTGGTCGAGTGACAGATATGGACGGAGCTTAAAGTTTTCTTACCTTGAAGACGGAGCTTAAAGTTTTCTTACCTTGAAGACGATGATGAAGACGGAGCTAAAAGTTTTCTTACCTTGAAGACGGAGCTAAAACTTTTCTTACCTTGAAGACGGAGCTTAAAGTTTTCTTACCTTGAAGACGGAGCTTAAAGTTTTCTTACCTTGAAGACGATGATGAAGACGGAGCTAAAAGTTTTCTTACCTTGAAGACGGAGCTAAAACTTTTCTTACCTTGAAGACGGAGCTTAAAGTTTTCTTACCTTGAAGACGGAGCTTAAAGTTTTCTTACCTTGAAGACGATGATTGAGTTAAAGACGCTGATCAGCACGAAGGGGCCGAAGCCGTAGAGCAGGGCGTCGACCCACGGCCAGACGACCTGGATCAGGTGCTCGTAGCCCGGGTTGGGGCTGCACTCGTACCGCACGCTCCTCTTCTGCTCGCTGGCCTTGGAGGGGTTAAGGTCGACCGTGAACAGGAAGTGGAAGTTGACGAGCAGGAAGACCAGGATGATGCCGGCGATTATCTTCTTGGCTCGGCTGTCTTGGCAGAAGTGTGGCGCCTGCAGGGGGTGACTCACGATGACGTAACGCTCGAAGGTGACGGCGACGATAAGCCAAACGGACACGTCACTGCTGGTGTAGTTGAGCATGAGCAGGCCCTTACAGAGCCAGGTGCTCTTGGTGCGGATGTCCAGCCCGCTAACCTCGTCCACCCAGAGCCGCAGAAGGCCGAAGTAGAGCACCAGACTGTCGAAGATGGCCAGAGTGCTCAGGTACACGTAGATGGACTGCTGGTTCATCGACTTGTGGCGCAGGATCAAAAAACTGGGAAAGATGGACAGTTTTTTTATTTAAGGTAGGCAAGAAAGATGGACAGTTGTTTTATTTAAAGTAGGCAAGAAAGATTGACAGGTTTTTATTTAATTTAAAATAGGCAAGAAAGATGGACAATTTTTAAAGTAGGCAAGAAAGATGGACAGTTTTTTTATTTAAAGTAGGCAAGAAAGATGGACAGTTGTTTTATTTAAAGTAGGCAAGAAAGATTGACAGGTTTTTATTTAATTTAAAATAGGCAAGAAAGATGGACAATTTTTAAAGTAGGCAAGAAAGATGGACAGTTCTTTACTTAAAATAGGCAAGAAAGATGGACAGTTGTTTTATTTAAAGTAGGCAAGAAAGATGGACAGGTTTTTTTTAATTTAAGGTAGGCAAGAAAGATGGACAGTGTTTTTTATTTAAGGTAGGCAAGAAAGATGGACAGTTTTTTTATTTAAGGTAGGCAAGAAAGATGGACAGGTTTTTTTTAATTTAATTTAAAATAGGCAAGAAAGATGGACAGTTTTTTATTTAAAATAGGCAAGAAAGATGGACATTTTTATTTAATTTAAAATAGGCAAGAAAGATGGACTGTTTGTTATTTAAAGCAGGCAAGAAAGATGGACATTTTTATTTAATTTAAAATAGGCAAGAAAGATGGACAGGTTTTTACTTAAAATAGCAAGAAAGATGGACAATTTTTTATTTAAAGTAGGCAAGAAAGATGGACAGTTCTTTATTTAAAGTAGGCAAGAAAGATGGACAGTTTATTTTTAATTTAAAGTAGGCAAGAAAGATGGACAGTTTTTTACTTAAAGCAGGCAAGAAAGATGGACAGTTCTTTACTTAAAATAGGCAAGAAAGTTGGACAATTTTTTATTTAAAGTAGGCAAGAAAGATGGACAGTTTATTTTTAATTTAAAGCAGGCAAGAAAGATAGACAGGTTTTTAAATTTAAAATAGGCAAGAAAGATGGACAATTTTTTATTTAAAGTAGGCAAGAAAGATAGACAGGTTTTTTAATTTAAAATAGGCAAGAAAGATGGACAATTTTTAATTTAAAGTAGGCAAGAAAGATGGACAATTTTTTATTTAAAGTAGGCAAGAAAGATGGACAATTTTTTATTTAAAGTAGGCAAGAAAGATGGACAATTTTTTATTTAAAGTAGGCAAGAAAGATGGACAATTTTTTATTTAAAGTAGGCAAGAAAGATGGGCAGTTGTTTTTTTAAATTTAATTTAAAGTAGGCAAGAAAGATGGGCGGTTTTTTTTTTAAATTTAATTTAAAGTAGGCAAGAAAGATGGGCAGTTTTTTTTTTAAATTTACTTTAAAGTAGGCAAGAAAGATGGGCAGTTTAAATGTAGAATCTTGAAAAAACATTTTCTGATTGAAATTTATTTTTAAAAAACCTAAAATATTCTGTTTTTGTTTAATGAATGAAAATATGACAATGAACTTAAACTATGTTGACGTTCACGCTAGTTTGACGGAGTGAACTATGACAGAGCTTGAAAACATTCCTCTCTCTCAGGATTGTACAGCATCGAGCAGACGACAACATGGCGCTATTCCCAGAACTCACGAGGGAGACGATGCCAGCACACGACCTTGGCGTGAACAAGCTGGCATGACACCTGCAAACACGACTAATGAACGCCCATGTTTCTGCTAATTATCTCATTAAAAAACCAATGAAATTGATGCATTGTTTCCAACACAAATAATTCCATTTCCGGTCGGCCGGAAACGCGGCCTGAGTTGGCATTACGACCGGCATAACAACCGGCAAGGAAATGTGGAGACCGGTTTGGCATGAGTCTAGGACAGTCCAAAATGTCTGCTGAGGTCATTTAGTCATCTGTCGAAGACAGTCCAAAATGTTTGCTGAGGTCATTTAGTCATCTGTCGAGGACAGTCCAAAATGTCTGCTGAGGTCATTTAGTCATCTGTCGAAGACAGTCCAAAATGTCTGCTGAGGTCATTTAGTCATCTGTCGAGGACAGTCCAAAATGTCTGCTGAGGTCATTTAGTCATCTGTCGAGGACAGTCCAAAATGTCTGCTGAGGTCATTTAGTCATCTGTCGAGGACAGTCCAAAATGTTTGCTGAGGTCATTTAGTCATCTGTCGAGGACAGTCCAAAATGTCTGCTGAGGTCATTTAGTCATCTGTCGAAGACAGTCCAAAATGTCTGCTGAGGTCATTTAGTCATCTGTCGAGGACAGTCCAAAATGTCTGCTGAGGTCATTTAGTCATCTGTCGAGGACAGTCCAAAATGTCTGCTGAGGTCATTTAGTCATCTGTCGAGGACAGTCCAAAATGTCTGCTGAGGTCATTTAGTCATCTGTCGAGGACAGTCCAAAATGTCTGCTGAGGTCATTTAGTCATCTGTCGAGGACAGTCCAAAATGTTTGCTGAGGTCATTTAGTCATCTGTCGAGGACAGTCCAAAATGTCTGCTGAGGTCATTTAGTCATCTGTCGAAGACAGTCCAAAATGTCTGCTGAGGTCATTTAGTCATCTGTCGAGGACAGTCCAAAATGTCTGCTGAGGTCATTTAGTCATCTGTCGAAGACAGTCCAAAATGTCTGCTGAGGTCATTTAGTCATCTGTCGAGGACAGTCCAAAATGTCTGCTGAGGTCATTTAGTCATCTGTCGAGGACAGTCCAAAATGTCTGCTGAGGTCATTTAGTCATCTGTCGAGGACAGTCCAAAATGTTTGCTGAGGTCATTTAGTCATCTGTCGAGGACAGTCCAAAATGTCTGCTGAGGTCATTTAGTCATCTGTCGAGGACAGTCCAAAATGTCTGCTGAGGTCATTTAGTCATCTGTCGAGGACAGTCCAAAATGTCTGCTGAGGTCATTTAGTCATCTGTCGAGGACAGTCCAAAATGTCTGCTGAGGTTACTGTCATCTTTCGAGGTCTGGCTGCTGGGTTTACTAGGAAGAATCAACTTGGAGAGGTTGATGGGAGGTTAATGGAAGTTTAGACAGACGGACGTTTTAACAGACGGACGTGTGGACAGACGCACGATTAGACAGACGGACGATTAGACAGACGGACGTTTAGACAGACGGACGATTAGACAGACGGACGTTTAGACAGACGGACGATTAGATAGACGGACGTTTAGACAGACGGACGTTTAGACAGACGGACGTTTAGACAGACGGACGTGTGGTCAGAGGGACGTTTAGACAGACTGCTGACGTTTAGACAGACTGACGTTTAGACAGATGTATTTCTGGTGAAAATGTATTGGATGCTATTTTTGTCTGGTATTATGAAATCCATTTTAACTGGATGACACTAAAAATTGGATGAAATTAAAATTTGTTTGTCACATCCCGCTAGTTGACGTGTTCTATTTATAGCTCCAATCAGTGAGGGGAAACTTGAAACTTTTGGCTTAAAAATTAACTCAGTGGGGGACAACAACAGTGGGGGACAACAGTGGGGGACAACAACAGTGGGGGACAACAACAGTGGGGGACAACAACAGTGGGGGACAACAGTGGGGGACAACAACAGTGGGGGACAACAACAGTGGGGGACAACAACAGTGGGGGACAACAGTGGGGGACAACAACAGTGGGGGACAACAACAGTGGGGGACAACAGTGGGGGGACAACAGAGGGGGACAACAGTGGGGGACAACAACAGTGGGGGACAACAGTGGGGGACAACAGAGGGGGACAACAGTGGGGGACAACAGTGGGGGACAACAGAGGGGGACAACAGTGGGGGACAACAGTGGGGGACAACAGTGGGGGACAACAGTGGGGGACAACAAAGGGGGACAACAACAGTAGGGGACAACAGAGGGGGACAACAACAGTAGGGGACAACAACAGTGGGGGACAACAGTGGGGGACAACAGAGGGAGACAACAGAGGGGGACAACAGTGGGGGACAACAGAGGAGGACAACAGTGGGGGACAACAGTGGGGGACAACAGTGGGGGACAACAAAGGGGGACAACAACAGTAGGGGACAACAGTGGGGGACAACAAAGGGGGACAACAGTCTGGGACAACAGAGGGGGACAACAGTGGGGGACAACAGAGGGGACAACAGAGGGGGACAACAGTGGGGGACAACAAAGGGGGACAACAAAGGGGGACAACAACAGTAGGGGACAACAGTGGGGGACAACAGTGGGGGACAACAGTGGGGGACAACAGTGGGGGACAACAGTGGGGGACAACAGTGGGGGACAACAGAGGGGGACAACAGTGGGGGACAACAGTGGGGGACAACAGTGGGGGACAACAAAGGGGGACAACAACAGTAGGGGACAACAGTGGGGGACAACAAAGGGGGACAACAGTCTGGGACAACAGAGGGGGACAACAGTGGGGGACAACAGAGGGGACAACAGAGGGGGACAACAGTGGGGGACAACAAAGGGGGACAACAAAGGGGGACAACAACAGTAGGGGACAACAGTGGGGGACAATAGTGGGGGACAACAGTGGGGGACAACAGAGGGGGACAACAACAGTAGGGGACAACAACAGTGGGGGACAACAGTGGGGGACAACAGAGGGAGACAACAGAGGGGGACAACAGTGGGGGACAACAGAGGAGGACAACAGTGGGGGACAACAGTGGGGGACAACAGTGGGGGACAACAAAGGGGGACAACAACAGTAGGGGACAACAGTGGGGGACAACAAAGGGGGACAACAGTCTGGGACAACAGAGGGGGACAACAGTGGGGGACAACAGAGGGGACAACAGAGGGGGACAACAGTGGGGGACAACAAAGGGGGACAACAAAGGGGGACAACAACAGTAGGGGACAACAGTGGGGGACAACAGTGGGGGACAACAGTGGGGGACAACAGTGGGGGACAACAGTGGGGGACAACAGTGGGGGACAACAGAGGGGGACAACAGTGGGGGACAACAGTGGGGGACAACAGTGGGGGACAACAAAGGGGGACAACAACAGTAGGGGACAACAGTGGGGGACAACAAAGGGGGACAACAGTCTGGGACAAC